TGCTTGGCCTTCACCCTACGTGCATGTGGGGAGGATGAGGAAGGGGGAGAGGTTGCCTATACAATGGTGGAAATGGTCCTATGGAACTGTAAGCCCAAATCTTCATGGATAAAAAACACCATTGCGAGGAAAGACTTTGCCAAGCCTTTGCTGTATGAAGGTAATAAGGAACACCATAATTCACTGGTGCCTCTGGGGATTCCAAATGCTTCTTTCTTCAAGTCTTAGCTAAAACCCACTTTTTGCAAGAGGCCTTTCCAGGTCCTTCTCAATGCTGGTGCCTTCCCTCTGAGGTTATCTTTAATTTACCATTTATGGCTCATGTGTGTGATGTGTGTGTGTGAGTGTGTGAGAGAGAGAGAGAGAGAGAGAGTATGTCTTAAGTTTATTGGGAAAATGTTCTATTGCTACCTTTCTTATCATAGTATTTCATTATATGTTTATTTTCTTTGGACTAAAAATTTATAAAACCAACAATTTTGGGGAGCATGGATAAAAATGTAAACAATAATATTATTATTACATCTTAATCTCCAAGGGAGATAAGTCTTTTAAAACATCCTTTAGTCACAGGACTTGCCCCCACACAATAGGCAGCAAATTTGAAGGGTGACCTCTGTCCAAGAATATCTCCCTTCCTACTTGCACAGTGGCTGAAATTCCCACCAATAGAATATTCCTTTGTACTGAGGTACTAACTGTAGAGGTAAGGGGATCACAGTGGGAGACCCCTTTTAAAATGCATACATTCATGTTACCTGAAGAAGTAACACATCAACTCATTAACACATTCACTAAAGCATGGATTCTTAATCCTTTCTGTGTGGTATGGACCCATTTTTGCCTATGGATGACTCCTCAGAATATATTTTTTAAAAATTCAAAATTGAGAAAACTGGGGGGGGAATTTTATAGCAAGTTTCTCTAATAAAGGTCTCATCTGCCAAATATATAGAGAACTGAATCAAATTTATATGAATCTGAGACATTCCTCAATTGATAAATGGTAAAAGGATATGAACAGGCAGTTTTCAGATGAAGAAATCCAAGCTATCTATAGTCATAGGAAAAAAGCTCTAAATCACTACTGATTAGAGAAAGGCAAATTCAGAGAAGTCTGAGATACTACCTCACACCTATCACTTTGGCTAATGTGATGGAAAAGAAAATGACAAATGTTGGAAAGGATGTGGGAAAATTAAGGCACTAATGCACTGTTGGTGGAGTTGTGAACTTATCCAACCATTCTAGAGAGCAATTTAGAACTAGGTCCAAAGGGCTACAAAATTGTGCATACCCTTTGACCCAGAAAAACCTAGGTCTGTATCCCAAAGGGGGAAAAAAAAAGGAAAAGGACTTATATGTACAAAAATATTTATAGAAGGGGCAGCTAGGTGGTGTAGTGCATAGAGCTCTGGCCTTGGAGTCAGGAGGACATGAGTTCAAATCCAACCTCAGACACTTGACACTTACTTGCTGTGCGACCCTGGGCAAGTCACTTGACTCCAACTGCCCCCCCCCAAAAGAAAAATATTTACAGCCGCTCTTTTTTGTAGTGGCAAAGAATTGGAAATTGATGAGATGCCCATCAATAGGAGAATGGCTGAACAAATTCTGGCATGTGATTGTGATGGAATACTACTGGGCTATAAGAAATGATGAACATGATGCTTTCAGAAAAACCTGGAAAGACTTACATGAACTGATGCTAAGTAAAATAAGCAGAACCAGGAGAAAACACTGTACACAGTAACAGCAATATTGTACAATGATCAGCTGTGACTGACTTAATTATTCTCAGCAATACAAAGACCTAAGACAATTCTGAAGAACTAATGATGAAAAATACTATCCACCACCCCCATAAGGAACTGACAGAATCTGAACATAGGTCAAAGCATACTGGTTTTTTTTTCCCACTTTCTTTATTTTTGTCTCTATTTTCTCTTACACATGACTAATATGGAAATATATTTTGCATGACAGCACATATATAACCTTTATCAGACTGCCTGTCATCTTAGGGAGCAGGGAGGAGTGGGAGAGTGAGAGAGAATGTGGAACTCAAAATTGTAAAAATGAAGATTAAAGATTGTTTTTATATATAATTGGGAAAAATAAAATATTAATTTTTTTATAAAAAAAACCATAATTGAAGGAAATGTTATTACCATTAAAGTTTATCTGGGCCTGGGATCTCTCTGCCCCTCCACCTCATCCCACCCCTCAAATACAAAAAAATCCGAAAAAGAAAACTGCTCCTTCTATAAACTTCATGCAATTTTATATAAATTCTCAATTTCCTCCCGTGCATAGCAAGGACTTAGTAAAGTTTAAGCAGCATTTATCCTGGAAGCAGCTACAACTTGGGGGCAAGTGAGAAACCCATGTTAGCCAGACTGTCCCCGAGGAGCTCTGGGCTGGTCTTTCCTATGAAGTTCAGGTGAGGGTGAGTCCTGAAATCTTTGAGAGAAATTCTTTAAGAATCAGCCTACTCTTCCCAGCTGCTACAGGCAGCCTCTGATCAAGCTGAGGAAAAGGTTTTTATTTTTTAACACCCTAATAAATAGCTCTTATTTCTCTCCCCTTTCAGCATGTCTGCTCCCACTAAGAGAACAAGGTGCTAACAGGTTCACGGCACAACTGACTGCCCAAATAAATCTTATTTCCTTCAGGATGCCTCATTTGAATAAGCACAGAAAAGACTGCAGCCTATTACCCCCATTCTCTTCTTGGGCCTTAATTACTATCAGCAATTATCTGCAGCATCCCATTCAATAAAATAGCACGAGAAGACAAAAGTAAAGGGTTTTTTCTTTCTCTTTTCTACTTAAAATAAACATATACATGTGACATTATTGGGAAAATATTTTATAGTGAGCAAGCAAGGATTTTTATCTCAGGTAGTACTGCATCCTGAGGAGAGTCAAACACATTCAGGGTCATATGAGCTGCCTTTTCAGTGAAACCAGTTCTGTGTGGCAGAACTCAACTCCCTTGGGCCAACTGGAAAGGAAGTTGTTCCTGCTCTAGGTTGGGCCTCTGGGGAGGGAGTAGAGGGGGTGGGGGTGGGAAGAAGTACCAAAGTATTTATACTTCACTGTTAGAAAAACAAAAACATAAAACCTCATTCACCCGGATTGCTAAATGGGGAGGGATGGAAGGTCAGACTAAAATAATGAAAGATCTAAAATACAATCCATCCCTGACCCTTTGGGATTGATATGGGAGGAAATAAAAAAGGAAAAGGACTGTGCCTTGGAGGGTACTGAAAACTAATCAGCAGAGGAAGGGACAGGAGTCAATGGGTAAATTTCCTAGGGGAACACTTTTTTACACTTTCTAATACATACAGAAAGACGAGCTGAGGGCCTAAAAGAGCCCACTTTAAGGAATAATAATAACAACTATATAGTGCTTCAAAGTTTGCAAAGTGTTTAGCTCACAACAACATTATGATGTTGGTACTACAGGAATACTCAAGTTTACAAATGAAGAAACCAAGTCTCAGAGATCATGTGACTTGCTTAGGGTCAAATGATTAGTGTCAAAGGTGAGACTTGAAACTAAGCTTTCTTGACTCGAAGGCCATCCCTCTATTCTGGCCACATAGAGATAAGAAACATTTAGAATTAGCACATTTTATCTTACATGTAGAGGCTGTAAGGCTACAGAGAGAGGCGGCCTTAGAGCCAGAAATACCTCTGGTCGAGTCCTGTGTCTGATATTAGAATGGAAAACAGACTGTTTCATTCTTAATATGTGTATCTCCAACACCTAGTACAATGCTGGCCACAGCCAGCACTTAATAAATGCTTGGTGACTGACTGATTGCCAAATATTGGCCGTGTAAGTTTAGGCATGTCACTTAATCTCTCACTGCCTTGGGCAACTTTATAGGACTAAGCTGCAAAGCAGGTTCTAACCCGCCTTGGTAGACTGCGTTCCCTACCTGGAATTCCCTATACTAATAAAATTACAGTTCCGGTCTGAAATAATTTATGAGCCAGTAATGAAGGCTGCCATCAGCTGGGACTGGCACACAGAAGATATTTAATAAATATTTTTGAATGGAAAGTGTTAAAAATAACTTATTTTCCTACCTGGGTTAAATAGATCTCTGTACTCTTTTCAAGCCCTATTCCTCAGCTTGGCAAACTTTTTTTTTTTAATTAACAAAAGCAAGCCTTAGACCCAGGTCAGAATTATTAGTTTAAATTAGTGAGGCTTTACTGTACTTACAGTCGGGAGTAATGAAACACATGTTTCTTTTTGTTACAGTATAAATTATTCTCCTCACTCTACTCACTTTACTTTGAATCAGTTCTTACGAGTCTTCTTAGGTTTCTCTGAAACCATCCCTTTCATCATGTCTTATGGCACAATAATGTTGCATTGCATTCATGCTGTACTACCATAATGGATGCAGCCATTCCCCATTTAATGGTCGCTCCCTCAGTTTCCAGTTCTTTGCCACCACAAAAAGAGCTGCTATAAATATTTTTGTACATATGGATCCTTTTCCCTCTTCCTTTAATTTCTTTGAGGTATAGGCCTAGTAGGGGTATCGCTAGGTCAAGGAACATGCATAGTTTAGTAACTATTTGGGGCATAGATCCACACTGCTTTCCAGAATGGCTAGGCCAATTAATTCCCAGCTCTACCAACAATGCATTAATATTCCTGTTTTTCTCCAGCCCCTCCAACATTTGTCATTTTCTCTTTTTGTCACCTTCATTAATGTGATGGATATGAAGAACAGTAGTATGTATATTTGTTACAAGGATTTTGTTTTTGTTTTTCTTTGTGGTGGGATTGGGGAAAGAAGTAGGTAGAAGGCAAAGAAAGTCAATGCTTATTAATTGAAAAATTTTTTTAAAAGAGTGGAAAGGTTGAGAGGGGTAGAACTAGGCTAAAAGCTTTGATGATTGGGAGGGAGAAGAAAAAGGCAGATAACTTGTGCCACAGGGTCACAAAGATCTGCTTTCTCATTTACTGACCTTTCAAGCCATGTCCCGTATCATCTTCACTGTCCTGCAGCAGAGCATAACCTTGAGAAGGCATGTCTTTCCTCTCTCCTCCTATCTGGAACGGTTCTCCAGAATGGATCTGCTGGTTCCCAGAGTGGTCTTCCATCATGCTGAAGCTTGGTCTTTGCTCAGCCATCCTGTTTAGAGAGTTTCCTGGGAAGAGAATGCAAGGGGGGTGGGGTGGGAGGGAAAAAAAGCAGTCACAGGATGATCCTTCAGAGGTACCTGAAGAAAACTACTTACTCGTGCGGACACTTCCAGTGGGGCAGCTAGGCAGGGGCCTATCCCCCACTACAAGAGGCCCACCACCCACTGGCTTCCTGGATCCTCTGCAGCTCAGCCCCCTCTCCATCAGGCATTGTTTGTGGTCATGCCCTTGTTCTAGTCTCTAAATGATAGTGTTTATAGTATTCTCTCTTGAAGGCTGACAGTGAATTAGTAGTAACTACAAATAATTTATGCCACTGGTTGCCAAACTCTTAGAGAATGAGGACTGCTTTTTAAAATTAAAAAAAAAAAATGTCTTTAGGGACCACTCCATGATAACCTGTACTATTAGCATCCATTGACTAAGAAAATGCAGAAGGATAAAACTAAATGACTTCTGTAATGCTTTAGAATGACTTCGTATTTTATTCCCCATAATAGTCAAAAGAAAGGTCTCATTTCATTCTAAACGGGCAAGAAAAAATGTTTCCTGTTAGATATAACCAAGGTTCAAATCCCACCTCTGAGACGGATTAATGAATGAATCAATCATCAAGGCTCAAATCCCACCTCTGACACTAATTAATGAATCAATCAACCAATCAACAAACACTTATTAATTACTTACTATGCACCAAGCAGCATGCCAGGCAAATGCAAAGGTGTACAAATGCAAAGAATGAAACCGTTCCTGCCCTTGAGGAGTTTATATTCTAACAGGGGATACAACGTATATATAAATAAATAGGTATAGGTACATACAAGATTCAGGTAGAGTAGATGGAATGGAACGTTGGAAGCAAAGACAGTATAACCCTTCTATAACTCAGTAAATGCTCTCAAAAAGTTGCTGAGGCTGAAAAACTCATTAGCCTGTGGAGAAGTTGTTAACGGTCCTCGTAAGAGACACACAAACTACCATCTTGGTAGGGCCTGTTTAAGAATGCAGAGTTACTTCCATGCCATGATAAACTACTGGAAGAAGCTCCTGTTTTTAACACAGCTTTTTAGCTTTTCTCTCATTTTGTTAGTTGCTCAGTATCTATATACCAATATAATTGGTTACTTCCCCATATCTCATGTGTTATCTATTACATATTAAAAGATAAAGGTCTTATCAGCATCTTATACTACATGCCACAATAAATTACAAGTGGATAAACAATTTAAATAAGTCTCACTGTAAAAAAACAAAAAAAGAATGAGACTGGAAGGTTACATTATTCACAACTGAGGACCATGGAGGAATGGAGAATGGACATGAGATAGAGGAGATTTTAAAAGATAGAAATAGGCAATTTGATTATATAAAACTAAAATGCTACTATTACACAAACAAAACCAATGCAGCAAGAATGATAAGAAAAGAAATAGGCTGGGATTATTTTTTTTTTGTGCATTAAACATCTCTGCTAAAAGTGACATCTAAAACCTACAGGGAATTGACATGAATTTATAAACTTTAAGGGACATCCACCAATAGATGTATGCTAAAGGATATGTTGGAGCAGCTATATGGCCGTGGAGTCAGGAAGACTCATCTTCCTGAGTTCAAATCTGGCCTCAGACACTTACTAGCTATGACCTTGGACAAGTCACTTAACCCTGTTTGCCTCAGCTTCCTCCTCTGTCAAGCGATCTGGAGAAAGAAATGGCAAACCAGCCACTCCAGTATCTCTGCCCAGAAAACCCCAAATGGGGTCATGAAGAGTTGGAACTGAAACAACTGAACCACAACCTCAAAGGACGTGATGTTGGAAAAGATTGAACACAAAAGGAGAAGGAGACAGTAGAGGATGAGATGGATAGTGTCATGGAAGGAATAAACATGAGTTTGGACCGGCCTTGGGAGACAGCGGAGGACAGAATGGCCCAGAGTTCTATGGTCCATGGCATCGTGAAGAGTCAGACATAACTGAACAAATGAACAGTAAGAACAACAAAGCATACAGATTTTTCTTTTTATAATTGTAATTTTTATTGATATCTTTTACTCTTATTGCACCTTTATTTATAATACATTCCTCCTCACCCCACTCCACTCCCTATTTAGAAAGCCATCCCTTATGACAAAAAAATTTTTAAAAAGAAAGATAAGGGGAAAACTTCCCCCAATAATTCAGCAAAATCAACATGTCAGCAAAATTTGGTAGTATATTCAATTTTCCATACCCATGAAAAGAAGGAACTGAGATGCATTTTTTCATCTCTTCTTTGGAATCAAGTGTGGACTCAAGAAGGACCTGAGTTCAAATCCTGCCTTTGAGATTTATTAGCTGTATGATCCTGGATAACTCACTTAACCTTTCAGCCTTGATTTCTTCATTTGTAAAAAGAGGTAGTTTGGCTCAATGGCTTCTATGGTCCCTTCCAGATTAAAATCTATGATCAGTCAGGATGCTCAAACACCTTTAAGAATTACTGCTGAGAATTTCTAAGAGAACAATGAACAGCAGTTTTCTGAAAATTTAACATCACCTTGACAAAAACTGAAATGGAGACTATTAAATGTACCTGTCTGCATCAGCCTTCTGAACATTTCACTTCTAGAACATAGAGAACAAGACAAGATTTCTTTCCTTCTTCTACAATAAGCTGCAGCCTGGTTTGAGTGAAGGTTTATCATTCTGCAACAATAAATGTTTTTGATCACTGTGCAAGATAATGAATTGCATGGATACTCCGGGACCGTTGGTTGTAATATGGAAGAAGAGGCCCAGAGTTTTTAGATTAATCAAATTCAGAACCAAGATAAGTGTTGCTGGGACAACTGGAGCAGGAAGCATTCCTTACAGAGACAACTCACCCTGGTTTAATGCAGAATAACATCAGATAAGACTGGGTCAGTGACTCCCTTAACTTTTCAGTATCTAACAGCCACAAGTTGGTGAGGACCATAAATACATGCCTATGTTCTAAAACGTGACTGATGATGATCTAACATAGCAAAAAGTGGGGTATGCTACCATAGAAGGGCAGCTTGATGGAGAACACAGAAGGCCATCCAGGGAAACCTCAGTTCAAGACCTGTCTCTGACACACACTAGTTGTATGACCATAAGCAAGTTACTTAACCTTTGAGTGAGTCAACTAGTTATTTATTAAATACTTATTATATGCCAGCTACTGTGCTAAGTGCTGGAGATACAAAAAAGGGGGGAAAAATTACAACCCCCAGCCCTACCCCAAACAACAACCACTACCATCAGGTCTTGCTCTCACAGCCTAATGGGGAAGATAACAGCAAACAACCACGTACACGAGCAGCTAGGTAGCACAGTGGACAGAGCACCAGGCCTGGAGTCAGGAAGACCTGAGTTCAAATCTGGCCTCCCTAGGCAAGTCACTTAACCCTACTGGCCTTGGTTTTCTTATCAGTAAAATGAGCTGATGAAGGAAATGGCAAAACTACTCCAGTGTCTTTGCCAAGAAAACCCCAAAAGAAGTCATAAAGTGACCAAAAATGACTAAACAACAACAATGATGCACAAACTTAAGATACAGATGGGATAAACTGATTGTGCATAACTGGAACTCTGGGTAAAAGGGGATGAAGGTGTTGATTTCTATGGTGCTCCATCTACCTGAAATAGCATTATTGCTCAAAGTGTGACATGGCTGAAGCAAGGCCACCCATGCATTTCTGTTTTTAGGCAATACTGTCTACCGGTTTTTTACATCAAGAATACCACGTATCCATGTGATAGTTGGCCCAGCAGAGAGTATTCTTCCTTTCTGATGACTGACTTGGCAGTTTTGGACCCCAAATCTTGTGTTGTTTTTGTTGACTCGTGTCCCACTCTCCATGAACCCATTTGGGGTTTTCTTAGCAAAAATACTGAAGTGGTTTGCCATTTCCTTCTCCAATTCATTTTATAGATGAGGAAACTGAGGCAAACAAGGTTAAGTGACTTGTCCAGGGTCACATAGCGCATAAGTGTCTGAGGTCAGAGTTAAATCTTGAGTGTTGCCTTCAAAGACATCTTGGGCAGGCTGACTCTATCCCAGTAGTACCATAATATTCTGCCCTTGGTATTCTCATCTATGTGAGTTTGTGGGTAGGAGCTTTGATCCTTGGCTTAAGACAAGGCTCTTTCATCAATGCTCCTAGGGGAGCAGGGTTCACTATGGAGCCATGCTGGTCTGTATGCGTTGCTCATGGAGCCAACTAAAGCTAGTCAGTAGTCAGCAATGAAAGTGGGCTCACTCTCTGGTTTTCTGAGAAAGAAGAGAACCTGCTTCACTTAGACGGAAGGGAAAAAAACAGAGGAGGCGACATGGGACCTGATACATAGATTTTCCACCATCCTGCCAACAGTCTTTCATCTTGGGGCATAGCAGATTTGAAAGAACTTAAGATTTGGAGTCTGAAGATCTGTGTTCAAGTTCTGGCTTGTTCCATTACTAATCTCATGACCTTGGGAGAATCTGAATCTTGTTTTTTTCATATGCAAATAGGGATAAGGATATTTCCACAGCCTGTCTCACAGGGTTTTGGTGAGGATCAAATGAGAATGTATATAAAATGATTCGTAACTATAAAGCTCTAATATAAATGTGAGCTATTGCTGGAGCCATCGCCAGTCATCTTGATTTTTGTCTTGCTGGACTCTGATGATTCTGGAGGAGACAGTGAGGCAGATGTCTTTGTGCAGCTCTGCCTCATTTAAATCCAATTCACATGCAAGTCAAGACATCATCCCTGTGATGTCATTTGCTCTCTTCGAGAATGAAGGATGAACAACAGTATTGCTATTTTAAAGCTGTGTTGATGTAGATATATCTTAATGTTATATTATATTGACATATATCAATATTATATATGTATATGTACACACACACATATACATATTCATACGGTTTTTAAAATCACCTTTATTTCCCAAGATATCCCTTCTCCCCTGCCCTGTCTCAGAGTCATCCCATATAACAAAAAGAAAGAGAGG